GGTGCCCGGGGAAAACAAGATGCCCCCTTCGGAGGTGGGGGACACAAAGAAAGTTTCAGATCTGTCAAAAACCGAAGGAAGGATTGAACTCAGGAGAGTTACGAGGTCCGCCTGTGGGGGGGGGCTCATCTCGGGCGTTTCCTTGCGAGCATGAACCACGGAGATAAGGCAAGTTCACCGTGTGGGGTGCGAGTGCGATGTGGTAGTAAAGAACATGAATATAAATAGTAGAAGAAGGACATGAGTCGTATACGAGATAGTGCTAATAGAAAAGGGTAGCAATAGTCGTAATACTAATAGTCGTCACCGTGGAAATACGAGCTAAGATCGTAATCCGAATGAGCGAAGTAGTCGTAGTAGTAGCAGTAGTAGCAAACATAATGGTAGTAGTCGTATTACTACTACTGCTGCTACTACTACTACTACTACTGCGACTACTACGACCACTAGTAATAGCAGGTGTAGTAGAGGCCGTAGTCGTAGTCGTCGTAGTAGCAGTACTAGTAGAAGTAGTCGTAGTAGTAGTAGTAGTAATCGTCGTCGTCGTCGTAGTCGTAGTAGTCGTAGTAGTAGTAGTAGTAGTAGTAGTAGTCGTAGTAGTAGTAGTAGTCGTAGTCGTAGTAGTAGCAGCAGCAGCAGCAGCAGTAGTAGTAGTAGTAGTAGTAGTAGTCGTAGTAGTAGTAGTAGTAGTAGTAGTAGTGGTAGTAGTAGTAGTAGTAGTAGTAGTAGTAGTACTAGTAGTAGTAGTAGTAGTACTAGTAGTAGTAGTAGTAGTAGTAGTAGTAGTAGTAGTAGTAGTAGTAGTAGTAGTAGTAGTAGTAGTAGTAGTAGTACGATCAGCAGTAGTCGTAGAAATAGTAATACTGGTGGTAGTAGTCGTAGTTTTTAGGTAGTACTCGTAGTCGCAGCCGTAGTAGTAGTAGTAGTAGAAGTAGTAGTAGTAGTAGTAGTAGTTGGGATCGTGCTAGTAGGACTACTCAAAGCTATTACTACAGCCGCTACTACTACTACGACTACGACTACGACGAGTACTACTACTACTACGGCTACTACTACTACTACTACTACTACTACTACTACTACTACTACTACTACTACTACTACGACTACTACTACTACTACTACTACTACTACTACTACTGCTACTAGCAGTAATCACAGTCCGGGTAGCAGTAGCCGTAGTGGTCGTAATATTAATAGTAGTAGCAATAAGAATTGTAGCATTCGTAACGCTAGTAAGTGTAATAGTAGCAATCGTGGGTGAAGTTTTGGTTTTAGCCGGAATTACAGTGGCAGTCGTAGTCGAGGTAGTAGTAGTGGTAGTAGTAGTAGTAGTAACTGAATAAAGTAGCAGTAGCACTGGGAATTGTAGTTGTAGTACTAGTAGAATCAGAAGCCATTGTGGTAGTAGTAGTAGGTGTCGCAGTAGTAGTAGTAGTAGTAGCAGTAGTAGTAGTAGTAGTAGTAGTAGTAGTAGTAGTAGTAGTAGTAGTAGTAGTAGTAGTAGTAGTAGTAGTAGTAGTAGTAGTCGTAGTAATAGTAGCAGTAATAGTAGTAGTAGTCGGAGTAGTAGTAGTAGTAGTAGTAGTCGTAGTAGTCGTCGTAGTCGTAGTAGTAGCAGGACTAGCGCTAGTGGTATTATTCCCTACCTAGGCTCTGCCTAGAAGGGTTCTTACTCTCTGGGCTTAAAGGGGCCGGGCAGTGGAAAGCGCCCCGGGCGGTTCCCCCAGTATCCGCCCCGCGGTTCCTTCAGTTGCGCCCCCTTAGCTTAGCTTTGCTTATCTCATCTTAGCTTAGCCTAGCTTAACTTAGCTTAGCTTAGCCTATCCTAGCTTAGCTTAGCTTATCGCTGCTTAGATTAGCTTAGCTTGGCTTAGCTTAGCTTACCTTAGCCTAGCCTAGCTTAGCATAGCTTACCTTAGCTTAGCGCAGCATAGCGCAGCGCAGCATTAGCACAGCATAACACAGCACAGCATAGCCAAGCATATCATAGCATAGCTCAGCATATCATAGCATATCATAGCATGGTATAGCGCAGCATATCATAGCATATCATAACATAGCATTGCTTCGCATAGCACAGCGCAGCATAGCATAGCATAGCATAGCATAGCCAAGCATAGCATAGCCTAGCCTAGCAGGTGATATGCAGATATGAGTCTCGCTGTTGATGTTGATGTAGATGTATGTGCAGGTGTAGCTGTTAACGTAGCTGTAGGTGTAGATGTAGATGCTGCTGTCCTAGATGCTCCAACTCCGAGGTAGGGTCGCACTGGGATAATTAATTGTAGTGGTAGTAACGGTAGTGATAGTAGTAGTAGTAGTAGTAGTAGTAGTAGTAGTAGTAGTAGTAATAGTAGTAGTACTGGTACCAATAATCTTCGTAATGGTCTAGTAGTAGCAGGGTAATAAGACGTGCAGTAGTGATGATCGGATATGTCTGTAAACGCAACGAGATCTATTGGTAGCAGAATCAATCGGAATTTAACTAGTAGCGTAGCAGAACAACAAATAGTTATCCTAGTAATGGTAGTGGAAGTGGCAGTGGTCGTAACGATTTACACGGGGTCCGTCGCCCGGCGCGCAGGCGGCCACGCCAGAGTGGGCGAGCCAAGCTACCCCCCTCCCCCGATCGCCCCCCGCCCCCCCCACCCCCGCCCACCCCCCAGCGCCCGAAAAACGCCGACTCCCAAGCGCCCGCCCAGCCAGGCTCACGGCGAGGACGGCGCGACAGCGCTGGGTGATGTGCCGCGCGATGCGTGAGGTATCACACATCATCACGGAGCCTAATAAACACTTAAGAGGCAAAGGCCGCAACCGATGCAGTCAAACGAGTTCCGTTGATGTAGATCGCGTAGTGGAACAGAAACGAAATGACAGCGCCTCGGGCCCGAAGAACTAGAGTCCGATCCAATGGAGTTCAGGATCTCCCACTTCCAGCTGCCTGGCCTTGGGGATATCCTCGCCCCGACGTTTGTCAGAGGGGTGTTCACTCTTATTCGCGCGAGACACGTATCTGGGCACGCGCGCGAGAAGAGTAAGGAGGGGGAGGGCAAGGCGCATGTAAACAGGACGTGCCACCTGTAGAAATCCCCCCTCACTTCACACAAATCGCAACAACGCCCGGGGAGACAAACAACTGGCGGCCTCGAGCTGAGGCAGGTGGCGCAACGCCTCTCTCCAGCAGGGGCTGACCTGGAAGTAGGCTCGGGAGGAGAGAACGCCGGGCAACGCGCCCGGCCGACTCCAGACCGCCGACCGCCTGCCCGACCTTGGCAGCGTCCTGGGACGCAGTGCCAGCGCGAATGCTGGCCTGCAAGGGCTCCATCAGGCGCGCCCACCTGCCGACAGCATTCCTGCGAACGGGCGATGGCGAGCGAGCTCGAACGCCTGGCGCTTCAGAGATCCCAACTCCAGCTCACCGCAACGGGGCGGTGACGACATTGCCTCCACCCCCTGAGTGTCAGAAGCACTAAAGCGAGGGCGCTCAGAGCGCCGAGCGCCCGATGAAGACGACAGAGAAGCCTAAGGGTCCGCAGCGCCTCGAGGCCCCGAGTCGCCCCCCTCTGCCCCCAACGACGAGACGGCGACGACGCCCCCCCCCCCCCCGCCCCCCCCCCTCCAACACAGCCAGCAGCGGGGGCTAGCAGAGAGGCGACGACGGCCGCGCGAGCGGAGACCTTGTCCTCGCTTCCCGTGCCAGGAATACTGGAGGCAATCCGCGGCGACGGCCCACGCAAAGAACGCTCACCATTCAAGAGCCGTCGATTCTGAACAACCTTCACCGCGCATTCTCTACCCGAATCATCGCGCACTGGCTCTTGATGGACTTTGATCGGTCGCCTCGAAGATGGCCCCAAGAGGCGCTCCAGGGCCCCCAAGAGAGCCCCAAGAGGGCTCCAAGAAGGCCCCGAGACGCACCCGAGAGGCCCCCAAGAGGCCCCCGAGCGGCCTCAGAGAGCCCAAGATGACCTCCAAGATGGCTCGGATAGCCCAAGCTGGCTCAAGACGGCTCCCATGATGCTCCAAACGGCCCCAAGACCGCTCCAAGAGCGCTCCAAGAGAGCCCCAAGAGGCGTTTTGCCGACTCCTGAGAGGGAGCTGAGTTGGGGACCCTCCCATCCTGTAATCGATGGCCTCCCAGATGATCCCAAAAAGCCTTTTAGGGTTACCCAGAGGGTTCCCAGAGGGCCCCACAAACTCCCAGAGAACACCAGCAGCAGCAACAACCGCGAGAATACCCCTAGATGGTTCCATGAGTACTCGTCCGCGTCCTCCTCATCCTCCTCATCCTCATCCTCCTCCTCGTCCTCCTCGTCCTCGTCCTCATCCGCGTCCTCGTCCTCCTCGTCCTCCTCCTCCTCCTCCTCCTCCTCCTCCTCCTCCTCCTCCTCCTCCTCTGCCTCCCCCTCCTCTGCCTCCTCCTCCTCCTCCTCCTCCTCCTCCTCCTCCTCCTCCTCCTCCTCCTCCTCCTCTTCCCCTCGCGGCACCCAGGGATGGCCCGTAGAGGCCTTCCAAGGCCACCCCCTTGCTCGCTTCGTTTCCCTAGATGTGTCTCGTCGTCCCTTATCCCGTCATCTCTGAAGGGCAAGGTTTCTGAATGGGCTGGTGGGGATACTTTCTTTTGGTCGCGGGCGGACGCGGATTCGCAGTCGCCGAGCTGAGAGGTCCGGGCCACGGGCCTGTCAACTTAGCAACGCGCAAGCCTACGAGCACAGCGGCTGGGCCCGCACTCAGAACCTACCGCCGGTGGGGCCGCAGGCTGAAGGGGAGCTGGCTGAGCTGACTGCAAACGGCCAGGGTAGCTGATGCACCATGCGAGTGAAGTGGCTCCAGTACACCAGGAGAGGTCGTGACCTGTTCTGTTGGTACACGTCCGAGCGGGGCGGTGCCACCAGACGGGCGAATTCGGTGAGGCGGCGCGCAGCCAGGAGAACGGAGCCCGAGAGGCGCGAGAGCACACTAACTCAGGCGGGTTCCGTGTGACCTGCTGGTGGGAGTACGCGAAGCGCCGAGAATTTCTGATATTTCCTGGGGTTCTGTCTTCCACCCCACTTCCTATATTTTCCCCATTATCTGGGGGATCGACGATTAATTATGTTTGTGTGTTTTTGTTTCCCTCCTGATTTCGGGCCAGAACTCGGCTCGCTGGCGGCCGTTCGGGAGAACCCGGGCACCCCTGGAACGCTCTCGGCGAGAACCACCTGTTGGAACGCCTCCCGAGGCTGGGAAAAACCGCCAAGAACCGACGACGACGCCAGCACAGCGTGAGCCTCGCACCCGAAACGCCCAACCTGCCCCCTGGGACCCGAAGGGCGTAGAGGCAGGTCGGACCCGTCCCCCTACAGAGGGATTTTGGACGAACAGCTAATATATATATATATATATATATATATATACACATATATATACAGATAGATAGATAAACTCGAAGAAAAATACGCCCAAATGCTCAAACGTAGTCAAAAAATAATCCCCACACCGTTTGGTGACACTTCTCGACGTTTCCCTCTGTAGAGAGGCCGGCCCGACTTAGAAAGCGTACAGCCGCAGCCGCCGTGCGAGGAGCCGCCGCGCAGGCACCGAGAGGGGCCGCCCCGGCCACGGCGAGCCCCGGCCACGATCCGGGGCGCTCCGTGGCGCAGGCCCGGGGGCCGGCCCGAGGACCAGGGAGCCCCCCCTGGCGGCGGTGTACAGAATGGTCTGATTTCCATCATTTGTCATTGCATGCAGGTCCTCCCCCTCTTCCTCCTCCTCCTCCTCCTCCTCCTCCTCCTCCTCCTCCTCCTCCTCCTCCCTCCTCCCTCCTCCCCCTCCTCCCTCTCCTCCCTCTCCCTCTCCTCCTCTCCTCCTCCTCCTCCTCCTCCTCCTCCTCCTCCTCTCCTCCTCCTCCTCCTCCTCCTCCGCCTCCGCCTCCGCCTCCGCCTCCGCCTCCGCCTCCGCTCCGCCTCCGCCTCCGCCTCCGCCTCCGCCTCCGCCTCCGCCTCCGCCTCCGCTCCGCTCCGCCTCCGCCTCCGCCTCCGCCTCCGCCTCCGCCTCCGCCTCCGCCTCCGCCTCCGCCTCCGCCTCCGCCTCCGCCTCCGCCTCCGCCCGCCTCCGCCTCCGCCTCCGCCTCCGCCTCCGCCTCCTCCTCCTCCTCCTCCTCCTCCTCCTCCTCCTCCTCCTCCTCCTCCTCCTCTCGGGCTCGAACGTAGCCCTATCCCTAAGATTGACACGCCAAAAGGCGATGACAATCTTAGGGATCCGCCCTCAAAAAAGAAGGCAATCCCTAAGATTGGCATCGTGATGAGGAGGTGCCCAGCATAGGGATAGGGATATGTTCCAGGCTGGTAACAGGGAGCCCCTCCTGGCGGCGGAATTAGAAATCGGTGCCTCAACATGTGGCAAGCTTCTGAGGGTCAGGGTGTCCAGAACCCGCCCAAAAACGCTCTGTAAGCCCTGACCTTGAGGGTCTCCACAACGTCTGGAGGGTCCGGGTTTTTGAGGGTGTATGTCTTTTGTGCAGTGCATCGTTTTTCGTGGCTTGGCGCCGCCCCCAAACGTGGTCCTCAGTTCGGCGTCTGGGCTGATGTTGCCCCCTATCGTACTCAAGGACCACAGTCCAAAAATGATCTCGAGCACGCGGCCGGGGGCCAGCCCGAGGACCAGGGAGCCCCCCCTGGAGCCCAACGTGGTCCTCAGCTCGGCGTCTTGGCTGTGAGAGGCCTCTCATATCGACTACCCACCAATCCACCTCAACCCAACCCGAAGACCCGAATGTGACCCGAGTTTCAATTTGGGGAGGGGAGCCCAACGCGGTCCTCGGTTCGGCGTCTTGGCTTCTGTTGCCCCCTATCGTACTTAGGGACCACACTCCAAGAATGGTCTCAAGCACGCGGAAAAGTGTCGAAAGAGTGTCGAAAGCGTGTCGGAGCAGTGTCTCCCAGGGCACGACACGTGAAAACCCCCGAGTTTCGGTACATGTTGGGAAGGCTCGAAATTCTCTCTGGTGATCAAGGCTAAAGTAGGTTGGAACATCATAAGTCTTGGCTGTGAGAGGCCCCTCCTATTGACTACCCACCAATCCACCCCAACCCAACCCAACACGAAGACCCGAATGTGACCCGAATTTCGATTTGGGGGGGGGGCGGGCTCCATATATGTGTTTTTGTCAGTGTTCCCCGACGCCCCCCCCCCCCACTCCCCTTTGGAAATGGAGCGCAAATTGAGGCCTTCGGGTTGGTTTGGGGTGGTTTGGTGGGCGGTGACATATGGGGTCCGAGTAGGTGGAGTCGATGGATCGCGCCGAATCGCTGATGCATCGACGACGCACCGGCGACGTCGGCGCGGACCATCGGGCCCCACATCGAGGCGCATCGCCGATGTATCGGCGAGCCGGAGCAACCCTCGGACCCCATCTGGGAGGCCTCGCACTTTCGCGCCGAAACACGGGCCTCCAGCGGCCTGTCGGGACGACCCGGGCATCCCCCGAACACTCTCGGCGAGAACCACCCGTTGGCGCGCATCCCGAGGCTGGGAACCCGCCCTCAACAATCGAGCTGGGCGAAAGGGGGGATAGCCGAGGGGGGGTTTGAGAATCACCTCGCGTAGCTGATTTCCCCGGCGCCTCCTGGCGTCGGAGGCGGCTATGTATCGAGGAATGGGCCCGGCGGCGGGGCCGAAACCAGCTGCATGCAGCAGATTTCGTAACCCCCCCTTCCCCTGTCCTGCCCGTTCGTCTGGCCCGAAACAGGCGACAGCGCCAAAAGGCTGCGAACATCGAGCCGCACACGCCCAAAATTTCCCCCCGGGCCCACCGTCGACAGAAACATCCCGCTGGGCCCTCCGGTCGGCAAGCGCGCCCTCGTCGAGACGCCCGCGTCGGGGTCCGCGGGGCCTTCGCGTAGGCGTTGACCAGCAACCCCAAGACCACCACGGACAGGGGCGCGCCGGCTGCCTTCATCTGCTTCACGATATCCTCGCGTCGCCAGGACGGGCTCGAAGTCGACCCGGAGTCTTCGGACGTTTTCGTCGGATCTCAACGGCATTCCACCCTCGGGACGCCTTCCAGCGGCTGCGCCTCGCTGGGGGGCGGAGGTGCTCGGATTGTGCCGAGCGGCCGCTGGAAACCCGAACCGAAAATCGAATCCAGTCACGACGACACAAAGATCCGAGGCTCCGACCAAAAACGGAACGGCCAATTTCTCCGTTCTCGGCGTCTGGGAGCCCTCAGCGGGCCCCGGGACCGTCAAAAACGACTGGCCCTGGGAAGCGGTTCGGACTTCCAGGGGTCCAGGCACTGAGAAAACATATGGGGCGCCCGATGTCTGGGTATACGCCAGGTCGCCAAGGAGCTCGGCGCATGGATGCCCCAGTGCCCTAACCTTACCAACGGTGGGATGCTGGAGCCAGCTCGCGGAACTACTTCGCCGGGCTCCTCGGTCCCCTGGCCGACCAAGCTGATCCGTGGATCCGCCGAATGGGCGCCAGATCCACAGATCGAGGAAAAATACCATCCGAAATATGAAGCCAATGCTGCCTGATTTGGCGAAGGAGCGCGCCGATTCTGCACTGAAACGGGACACGTCGCCAATCCACTCTGCACGCGGTTGGGGCTTCTGTTCTGGATGGGCACCAGCAAACCAGTCAGGAAGGAAAAGGGGAAGATCGGACATCCACTGCCCATCCGGAAAAGGCGGCCCAGCGGTGACTGGGAACAAAACCAAAACACAATGGTGCTTCTCCCCCCTTCTCTAACGGCAAGGACCAGTGCTGCCTCATTTCATTCCCCCAGCATGCTCCCAAATCCACGCGCCCTAATCCATTATTGTATGCCGCACTATGCAAGAATATTGAATAACGCGATCGCTTCGAACTCGTGCTTGACGGCATCCCTTCACCAGGCGAAGGCAGCCAGAAACGTCCATCTTAGCAAGGATCGACTCCAGAGCTTCTGACCAGCAGTGGACAGCTCGCTTCGCCAAAAGGCAAACACCAAAGTTCGAAACGTGCACGCTTATGCCGAAGTCAAAATTGTGCCGTTACATATACATATATATATATATGTATATATATATATATGTATGTATACATATGTCTATACACAGATGCCTCGCGGCGTGCGCAACACTAGCAGGAGCTCATCAAAAGCTGCGTGATAAAGGTCGCCGGCACCACAAGACTCGATATTCCGAAAACCGAAGAGCCAAGCCTTTCGATCTCAATCCCACTGCAACCGAGAGCCGTTGCATTCCACACAGGCCCCGCCTCTGATCCGATCGCGTGTGACTCGGTGCCTTCCGCGAAGCGCGCCGTTGATACGGCCGCAGTCACAGTGGGAGGAGGAGGAAGGAACGCAACGCCTCGCGCGTGTCTCCCGAGCGGCCGCGGGCGCGACCGACGAGCGACAGCGTGGCGCCCTCACGCCGCGATGGCGGAGAGGGCAAGGTTGAAGAAAGTGTGGAAGAAGACCCACTCGCAGAGGAAGAGGAGGAGGGAGGAGGAGGAGGAGGAGGAGGAGGAGCAGAGGAACCTCCTCGGGCCGAGGCCTGCAGGGCAAGGCGCGGCGCGCCGCGCCGCGCCTCGCGGCGGCGCCGGGCGCCAGCGCTGCGGCGCTCGCCGCGGCCGCGCTCGCCGCAGTGGCCGCATCGGCGGAATCCATCGGCCGTTGATCCATCGGCGGCATCCGCGATGTCGGCCTCTGGGTGCACAATCTCTCGTCCACAGTGCGGGCCAGCATCTCAAAGCACCGTCCACGGGCCGAGGCACGGACGCACGCAAGAGGCATAGATATATGTGTGTATATGAACATGTCACTGCATGCGGCCTCCTCTTCCTCCTCCTCCTCCTCCTCCTCCTCCTCCTCCTCCTCCTACTCCTCCTCCTATCACTGCCTCCTCCTCCTCCTCCTCCTCCTCCTCCTCCCTCTTCTCCTCCATCTCCTCCTCCTCCTCCTCCTCCTCCTCCTCCCCCTCCTGGTCGTCGTCGATGTCTTTCAGGGTCGGCGGCAGCGGCCGTGAGGCCTTCACAAGATCATTGTGTGCAGCCTCCATCTCATGCGTACTAAAAACATGTTAGGTTATGACCATCCTGATACGGACATCTGAAACCGGCAACTGCGCAATTAGATTGCAGCAGCCTTTCGTGTCTGGTCTTCTCAGCTGCCTGGTAAAACTTCAGCACAGCAGCAACAACCAGGCTTGCCATACACTTGAACTTGGTGGCCGCGATCGGCGGTCTGTGCACCACAAAAACTGATTGCGTATGAACTGTCGTGCTCAGAAAAATAAAGATCGGTCGGTCTGTGGAAATCCAGTAACAACTTGTCAAGCAAACGGTGGGCCCGAACTGCTTCAAACGCCAACTTGATTCCACCCAAACGGAAACGCCACTGGGCGGGACGCTTGACCCAATGCATATGAGAACTCTTGCACACCACTCTCCAACCATCGCACAACACATTGTATTCACCCTGTTTTCGATGTCGTGGTGATCCGTTCACGCATAGTCCAGGAATCATATCGTCTACTGATTTACTGAACTCCGCCAAGCAATTTCGTGCCAAAGTATCCAACACTTCCCCGAGATTCTTTGAACTCAGGAGCGCCAGCGGAGACTCCTTGTAAGCACCGGCAGACCGGGATGTGTCGCTGAACACCTCATCGAATTCAGACACTGGGAGCTGAATGTATCGGCGGACACAAGAGCCCAGAGATGAAAGCCGGAGCCTTGTTTGGGATGGACCCTGGCGGTGGACAAGGCGGAGGATTGCATGTCCAAGCACAAGGAGCGATGGACGTTTCAAACTTGCCAGATCCAGACATGAGGAGGCCTGAACCCATGGTTTGAGCAATGTTGTTTTGGCACACGTGGCGTGAACAAAAATGGCTACGGCACGCGTCTTAATCCATGCTTGCGCTTCCTCGATCTGCATCGAGCCTCTCCGACGCCCGAACGCTCTCCTCCCCCCCATTCCTCCATGATCTTCGCGGGAGACGATTGGTATAATTTACTGAGGTTTTCCGCGATCGGGGACGCCTGACCCATGGCAGCTGGGAGGTTCATACCCCCAATTTCGGTGGCAAACGGGAGTATAAACTTTCCAACCGTCCTGGCAATTCGTATTCTACCGTTCGTCCGCTCATGGGCTGGCTGACGAGCCCCACCACTCTGCCGACGCGGGAGGCTCTGCAGAATGGCGGGGGCCTTCCGAGCAGCCAGGGCGCCGCAAGTGTTTCACGACTGAACCAGCGACGGCGCTGCCCAGCCTGGAAGGAGACCCCCACGCTCAGAAGAAGAAGAAGAAAAGCCGGCACAGCCTGGAACTCTCGGAGGCCCGCGCCAGACCCCCTTCCCTGGCGCGCGGAGCGCGGCGGGAGCGGCGCCAGAGGCGCCGCCAGGGGTGGGGGGGCTCATTGATTTTCTTCGACCCCTTCCCGTCGTCGTCGTCGTCCTCGTCTTCTCCTTCTCCGAAGAGAAGTGGTCCTCTGGCTCTCGATCACCCATGCCACCCCCCGAACATCCGGCGCTCCGACTTTAGTCTGTGCCTGGGCCCCTGGAGGTCTGGACAACTTCCCAAAGGCCAATTTTTCGTGACGAGGCGCCCCTCTTGCGCTCACCCCTGCCCCTGGCACCCCGCCCGCGCCCGGCCGGCCTGGCTCTCGGGCCACAGCTCGGGCATGCGCAGATCAAGAGACAGAGATCTGTGCACCTACACCGATCCCGGCCAGGCCCACCCTGGGCCCAGGATCGGCGCGTTCGCTCTCTTGACCTGTCCAGGGAGGCAAAGGTCACGCCGACCCTGGGCTCAAGATGGGCATGGCCAGGATCGGCGTATATGCACAATTCATACTCTTCACCAAAGGATCTCGCGGCGGGGACACTCTGGAGTCCCGCAGCGGTGCGGTGACAAACCGTGCGGTGACCTCGAAATCTGCCCAGGCCGCACCGCACGGTCTGTCAACCGCACGGTCTTGGGACCTCGGAGGCCCCAGCCGCCCGAGACGCCCTCGGAGAACGACCCGAGTCCCAACACCGTGCGGTGACCCCGAATCCCCACCGACTCACCACACGGTTCTTGAGCTCAACGCCCGCACAGACTAGGAGAAAAAAAGGCACAGCAGCGGCGGCTGGGAAACCACTGCTGGCAGTCACTACCCCGTTTGGGGGCCCCGGAGGCAACCCCCCCCACCCTTGCCACCCAGCAGGGACAGCCTGGGGGCGCGGACCCCTCAGACTCCTGGCCCCCCGCCTGGGCGGAGCAGGGCGAGCTCATGATGGGCCTGCTTTCCACCACCACCACAAGTTGGAGGGGAGGACCTCCTCCTCCTCCTCCTCCTCCTCCTCCTCCTCTTCGTCCCTCCTCCTCCTCCTCGTCCCTTCTCCTCGTCCTCCTCCTCGTCCTCCACGGCAGCTCAGAATCGGCCACTGGAGGCCTCTCAGGGTTCAAATGCACCGGTGCAGCACCAATGTTTCGGAGCTGCGTGCGACGAGAACCCCCCCGGAAGACCGCCTGACTGGTTCCGCGCACTCCTCTGACGGGTTCCGCACCCTGGATCTGGCGGGGACCTCGCCACCGATGTGTTTGGGGACGGGCTAACATGGGTGCGCGCAAACCCGGGTCGGCCAGGGCCACGTCGCGATCTCAGGCCGGCCACGATGTAGCTCCCAACCCGGGTCGGCTGTGCCACATGAGCTCGGAGGGAAGCGCCTCATCCCCGTTAGTCGGCGGCGCGCCTGGGGGGCAGGCAGTATCGGAAGGCCGCAGGGCTTCTCAGAAGCCCCCGCGCCTCCTGAGAAGCCCTGCCTTCGGGGATGGCCTAGCAGGCTCTCGGCAGGACCGCGGCCTCCCGAGCCCTCTGGGAGAAAGGCCCGCCCCCTCCTCTCTCCCCCGGGCTCGCAGCCGAGTTGGCGCCGACCACCGATGCTCGAGCCCCGAGGGGTGCGCGGGAACCCCTGGAGGGAGCGAGGTGGCCCAGGGCTCCCCCCGAAGAAAGCCCTAGGCGAGGCGCCGCGGCCGACGGGCAACCCCCCGAGGGTGGAGAGAAACTCTGCGCACCGCCAAGACACACAAAGAAAATCGTCGAGTCCTCCTCCTCCTCCTCCTCCTCCTGATCCTCCTCCTCCTCCGCCTCCTCCTCCTCCGAGGGAGGCGACGGGGGCGCTCCTCGGCGCGCTTCAGGTCCCCGGCCTTCACGGCGGCGTGCAGCTTGGAGCCGCTGGCCTTGGTCTCCTCGCCCTGGGCGGCGCGTTGTCGGCGCGGGGGGGGGTCCGCGCGGAATCATAGCCCGCTGAGTGGACCGACCACTGAACTTCAAGCTCGGCTTCTGCCCCCTCATGGACCCTCCTCCTCCTTCTCCTCCTCCTCCTCCCCCTCCTCCTCCTCCTCCTCCTCCTCCTCCTTCTCCCCCTCTCCGTTTCCTCCTGTTCCTGTTCCTGCTCCCACTCCTGATCACGATGATACCGATAACAACGATGATGGAGACGACGTTGATGATGATGATGATGATGATGATGATGATGATGATGACGCTGATGACGATGCCGGCGATGACGATGAAGATGAAGATGACGACGACGATGATGGTCATGATGATGATGATGACGATGCTGGCAAGGATGGCAATGATGATGATGATGATGACGATGATGGTGATTATGATGATGACGAAGATGAAGATGGAGCTGATTATGATGATGACGGTAACGATGGTAATGATGGTAATGATGATGGTGATGATGATGATGACGACCATCATCATGATGGTGATGCTGATGATGATGACGATGACGATGATGCTGACAGGTACTGATGCGGATGATGGTGATGATGATGGTTGTGATGACGACGCTGATGCTGATGATGATGACGCTGCTGATGATGACGATGGTTTATGATGATTATGATGATGGAGATGATGATTAGTAGTATGATGATGACGATGATGAAGATGATGACGATGATGAAGATGATGACGATGATGCCAATGATGATGATGATGATGATGATGATGATGATGATGCTGATGATGATGCTGATGATGCTGCTGATGTAGATGATGAGCATGATGGCGATGGCGATGCTGATACGGATTATGATGATGATGGCGACGATGACGAGGATGATAATCTTGAGGGGGAGCGGAAACAAGGGAAAAGGGGGAGCCCCGAGAACCGGGCGTTGCAATCTGTGTTCTCTGGGCATGTTCGAGCAATCTCGGGCAACTAGGCCATCGCAGATCGATCGGGCTCGAACGATGCAACCGGAAGAGGGGCTCCAGAGCTCACGCCGTGATGTTTCGCGACGTTGTTGATTGCTTTCTCGCCATGTCGCGGGATCTTGTGTCGTCGCCGATGTTGGCAAAGGTCCATGTCGACCGTTGCCGACTCGCGAGGCTGATACGCGAATTGACGATGAGCAAGATGGGCGATGACAGCGGGGGGTGCAGCCCTGGGCCACGTCTGGAAGCACGACGGGGCCGTCATGGCACCCGTGCAGACGCACCCGGAGGAGGAGAGGGAGTGGCACATCGCGGAGCGCGGACTCAGCGGTAGGCCAGGGTCTGTCCCAAAGCATGGCGGCGCGCAGAAGGGGGTGGGGGTGCGGGGGGATCGCTTCTTGGGAGGAGGCTGCTTCTTCGAAGACGCCGGCCCTGCATCTAAAGATACGGCCAGCGCCTTCCAAGAAGCAGGGGTGCGTCTAAGGAACCCCCCCCCCGCCCCCCACCCCGCCTCTGCGCGACGCCCCTTCTCCTCGCCCCCAAGTCCTCGCCGCTCCTTGCGCACTCCATCCTGGGCTCGCCCTCCTGCCTTGGGAGGCCACTCCTGGGAGGTCTTCGGCGGAACGATCGAAAGCGATTAACCTTAGGTCGGGCATGTCCCCCTGCAGGCGGATTTTGGAGGAAAACTAAACAAACAGCCAAAACAGACTCCCAAATATACTAAAATGTTCAAAAGAATCGTCCCCTAACTGTTTTGACTTTTTGTCGAAGATTCCTCCTATAGAGGGACAGGAGCCCGTTCGTGTATTCGAGCCGATCGCGCGCGTGATCGAGGGGGGGTCCGGCGCGCCGATCACGCCACGGCGGGGATGCGCCTGGCCACAAAAGCTCGCGATCCGATCAGCGCGACGTGCCTCTGAAAAACCGCAGTTAAAACAGGGCCAGGATCGCTCCAGAGCGTTCCGGAGCGCTCTCAGAGCGGTCCGGAACGCTCTGGAGCGGCCGCGGCGCCCAATACACCCTCCAAACCCGCCGATTCTCAGAGAGTTCGAGTTATCCCGATCCGATTTTGTCCCGATCTTCGCGTCGTTTTAGCAGTGCCCGAGGCCCGGCTTGAGATCAACCACCCTCTGCGCGTGGCTGGGACGCGCGCGCGCGCCACGGGCTCTCGCAGGCCCTCGCGGATCGCTCGGGCTTGGCGCTGGGCCCGCCGCCCCCGCGCGAGGCCTGGGCCGGCGGGGGGGCCGAGGCCTCTCCCAAGCAAGGGGCCCCACCCGGGGAGCCCCCCAAAGGTGAGGAGGAGGAGGGGGAGGAGGAGAAGAGGAGGAGGAGGAGGAGGAGGAGGAGGAGGAGGAGGAGGAGGAGGAGAGGAGGAGAGGAGGAGGAGGAGGAGGAGGGGGGAGGGGGAGGGGGAGGAGGAGGAGGAGAGGAGGAGGAGGAGGAGGAGGAGGAGGAGGAGGAGGAGAGGAGGAGGAGGAGGAGGAGGAGGAGAGGAGGAGGAGGGGGAGGAGGGGGAGGAGGAGGAGGCCCCCTCGCCAGGCCCAGGGGCCCCCGCCGGCCCCCGAAGTGCCGCGAGGAGCTGGGGGGCCCCCTGGGAGCCCCAGGATTGGGCGCCCGAGTTATCCGGGGTAACTCGGGTCCGGGTTAACTCGGGCTTGGATTCCCGAAAAACGAATCCGAGTTTGCCCTGACCCGAGTTACCCCTGATGATTTTGGGGCTCTGGACGCCCGAATTATCCGGGGTAACTCGGGTCCGGGGTAAATCAGGTTCGGAATCCCGAAAAGCGAACCCGAGTTAGTCCTGACCCGAGTTACCCCTGATGATTCGGGGCTCTGACAGGAGCCAGACATGGAGCCACGACCCCAGACCAGCCCAGGCCACTGCAAGACGTGCGGCTCGCCCCCCATCGTCGCCTCCGAGGCGAGGCTGCCTCCTGGGCCGCACGCGTGGAGAGCAGCACCGGCGCAGGCGTGGACGTCGATCCCTCAGCAAGCAGCAACGACGGGGGCACCCTGGGCCAGGTCACCAGCCTGGAACATATCCCTATCCCTATGTTGGGCATCGCCTCATCACGATGGCGATCTTGGGGGTTTCCTCAGTTTCTGAGGGCGCATCCCTAAGCTTGTCATCTCCTCTTCGCGTGTCAGTCTTAGGGATGGGGATCGGTTCGAGGCTGGTGGCCAGGGGCGCTTCTGGCAACCCGCTCCTCCGAGTGGCGCGGCGTCCCAGCGCCCAGCGCAGAGTCCGCTCGGCCTGCGGCGGTCTGCAGCCGTCGTGCCACCGTGAGGGGGGCGCCGAAGCAGGAACGAAGGGGATTGTATGGGCCACTGCGAGCCTCGACCACGAGCTGCTTCCCCGACAAGAATCTGAGGAGGAGGGAGGAGGAGGAGGAGGAGGAGGAGGAGGAGGAGGAGAAGGAGCTGTGTTCTGAGGCGACCGGGCCCCGGTGGCGGTCTGGCCAGCTCGTCGGCCCCGAACACCACAGACTCCCCCCCTGAGCCTATAGCCCCCCCCCTGAGCACAGAATGATCACAATGTCATACACACAAACTGTCAGAGAGCCCCTCGCGGGTTTCTTGGATCTGCGCTGGGCCCCTCTCCCTGGCGCGCGGAGCACGCAAGGGCGGCGTCGGAGACGCCGCCAGGGGGGGCCAGCGCAGATACAAGACATCAGCGCGGGCCGTCGGAAGCTTGTTTATGCAGTTGTTCATGCTCTGGAGGGATGCAGAAGGATATACTAATACGATGGGTCCTCCTGGGAGGCGTGCGTCCGACCAGATCATCCGTCGCTCGGGCGTCGATTTCACGTGCATTTGTTGGTTTCGTGCGTGCTTTTGTTTGCCCGTTTGTCGAGGATGGTCCTCGATGGTTCTCGCCGAGAAAACATTGCACACGTCCGAGCGATGCCAGGTATAATACGGCAGCTTTTCGATACGATGTTGCCCAGCGGCGTGCCCAAAGCGCGCCCGCCAACCGGCAGGTACCGTACTATGTCCGAGAGCGCGCGCGCCGCCCTTTCTGGGGGCGGCGCACACACATAGCAGAGCACCCGGTCGGTCGGAAGACGTGGGTTACAAGCATGAGGTAGGAAGCATGAGGTATGAAGGTGTTGGAAGTCGATTGGGCCTCCGCCCGCCCCTTGAAGAGGAGGGGAGAGGTATGGCCGCTCGATTCTTGACGTAGGAAGGCGCCTGAGAGTAGATGGGGATCTGCGAGTCCAGAGATACCTGGTTTCGACGACCGACGGGTATCTGTTGGGTGACGCCGATTCGGAGTTTATGCAGCCGTGTTGCGGGCAAGTGCTGCATCCGACAGAGTAGAGCTGACGCTAATGCGGACACTAAGCCAGCCAGGTGAGGTGAGCGGAAGCTCGCGCTTCAACCCGAGCTAGAGTCGAAGCTCTGAAACCAAAGGGAAGCGCGAGGATTGCATCTGGTTTGAACAAATGCAGCTAAAACTGACGGGCCCTTCTGCCGAAGCCCCACATGCTGCCACGCTGGTCCTGGGCAGGCTGTGCTGTCCACTGCGTCTTGGAGCTTCGAGCGCGCCAGCGCGCGTAGGCCCAGAGGCCGCCCCGCGGCGGCTGAGACGTGCGCGCCTTCGGCCGACGGGGCGAACTGGCATAAGGCCTGTGGCCACCGAGGGGCGCGGTGCGGGCCAGGCCCCGCTGGATGCGGTGCGGGCCAAGGTCTCCACGGGGCCCCCATGACGAAGCCAAGCCGAGGATAACATCGGGTGAGGAGAAACCGAGAACCGCTATGACCCGGCGGCTCTGGAGGATCCCTTGGGCGCCGCGGGCTTCTCGCAGCACTCCGGAACGCTCTCAAAGCGTCCTGGGACGCTTTGGAACGGATCTATCCTCGGCCTAGCCACGTCCGGTAGACCCCATCTTTCTGCGGCATTTCCCACGCTGGATCGAGAGGGAGAGGAGAAGGGGGAGGAGAAGGAGGAGGAGGAGGAGGAGGAGGAGGAGGAGGAGGAGGGGGAAAGGGAGGAGGAGGAGGAGCAGGAGGAGCAGGAGCAGGAGAAGGAGGAGGAGCAGGATGAGGAGGAGGAGGAGGAGGAGGAGGAGGAGGAGGAGGAGGAGGAGGAGGAGGAGGAGGAGGAGGAGGAGGAGGAGGGAGGAGGAGGAGGAGGAGGAGAGGAGGAGGAGGAGGAAGAGGAGGAGGAGAAGGAGGAGGAGGAGGAGGAGGAGGAGGGAGGAGGGGGAGGAGGAAGGAGGAGGAGGGAGGAGAGGAGGAGGAGGAGGAGGAGGAGGAGGAGGAGGAGGAGGAAGAGGAGGAGGAGGAGGAGGAGGGGGAAGAGGAGGGGGAGGAGGAGGGTGGGAGGAGGAGAAGGAGGACGAGGGGGAGGAGGAGGAGGAGGAGGAGGAGGAGGAGGGGAGGAGGAGGGGGAGGAGGAACAAATAGGTGCGTGCACTCGCGTCATCTCTGAGTTCCTACCCGTCCCTCGCACCCCTTTATCATGGTGTAGATATCCTCTCTATTCGAACAGTCGGCAAAGCAATGCATCGCACAGCGGCGCAGAACACAACCTCGCACAACATGTTATGGTATGGCGCAAGGTGCTTTGGAGGGTCAGCTGATCGTCTTTGAGAGGTCTGGGCCGGTCTCGAGTCGTGGCTCCATGTCTAGTTCCCTGGACTCCCCGAAACTCTCCACAGAAGGCGGGGCTGATGGAGAGGACCATCTGGCTGTGCTTCCAGCATCGCCTTCTCGAAGCAGAAACGGGGCCCCCGCTTGGTACTTCTGAAAACGACGACGCCCCAAAGTGGGGGGGGGAGGCTTCTGCGGCCCCAAAAACCAACGAAGTGACAACGAATACGTAATCATGTACGATGTTTTTTTCGGGGGGGGCATTGTCTAGATATTGGGGCCTATTTGGAAAGCCAGCGCTGCAACGGGAGCGCGACTCGGAACGAGCGGAAACGCGGAAATAAGGCCAGCGCTGCAGAGGGAGCACGATTCGGAACGAGCGGGAGCCCGAAAATGAGGCCAGCGCTTCAGCGGGATCAACATGGTGAAAAAACACCAAAGCGAAAACCTATGTCCTGAGAATCCTGTGTAAACCAACAGTGCGTGGAGGGGGATCGGATATCTTCCGGACGTCATCAGGGGAGAGAGGAGAGTAGTATTCCCATTGTGCATCTATGGAGAAGGAATAGGATGAGGAAGAGGAATACGTAGGAGGAGGAAGAGTGGTAGGGGGAGGAGGAGGAGGAGGAGGAGGAGGAGGAGGAGGAGGGGAGGAGCAGGAGGAGGAGGAGGAGGAAGAGTGGGAGGGGAGGAGGAGGAGGAGGAGGAGGAGGAGAGGAGGAGGAGGGAGGAGGGGAGGAGAAGGGCGAGGATGAGGAGGAGGAGGAGGAGGGGGATGAGGAGGAGGAGGAGGGAGGAGGAGGAGGAGGAGGGGGATGATGATGATGCTGCTGAGGATGATGATGATGTGATGATGATGGTGATGATGATGATGATGATGGTGATGATGATGGTGATGATGATGATGATGATGATGATGATGATGATGATGATGATGGTGATGGTAATGGTATGATGATGATGATGATGATGATGATGATGATGATGATGATGATGATGATGATGATGATGATGATGATGATGATGATGATGATGATGATGATGATGATTGATGATGATGATGATGATGATGATGATGATGATGATGATGATGATGATGCTGATGATGATGATGAGGAGGAGAGGGAGGAGGAGAGGGAGGAGGAGGAGGAGGGGAGGAGGAGGAGGAGGAGGAGCAGGAGCAGGAGCAGGAGAGGGAGGAGGGGCCCCGTCCGACAGAGGGCCCCCAATCCTCCCCGACGGTGTGATTTTGCAATGGGCGGCCACTCCTCGCTCTCCGCCCTCGGGGGCAGCTGCCGGGCCGAGGGCCATGCTGAGTCCCTCTCCTGCTCCCTCTTCTGCTCCTGCTCCTCCTCCTACTCCTCCTCCTCCTCCTCCGCCTCCTCCTCCTCCCTCTCCTCCTCCCTCTCCTCCAGCTCCTCCTCCTCCTCCTCCTCCTCCTCCTCCTCCTCGGGAAGCGGTCGGGGTCTGTGTGGGCCTGCGCCAGTCCCGTGGGATGCTGTGTCTTTGGGTGGGGCGGGCGGGCGAGAGAGGACCCATGCAAACGCAGCGAGCCGAAACTGCCAGGTATGGAGGTCCCATGGCTTATCCCTCGTGCCGCTGAAAGTGACAATCATGGGCTGGGAAATGCACTCTCGGGATGGCAAGAGGGGGCGAAATGGCAAGATCTGTCGAGTCCAAGACATATAGGCACAAACCGACAATTGGCTTGAAAAGGGACTCCTTGCCACCAGAGGGCGAAACATCTAACGATAATCCGTCACATGTATACTCACTCAAACCGATCGAGCAGTCTTGGCAGTGGCACGGTAATGTCGGCTTGCCACCGCGCGAATGAAAAAGCCCACGAGCGAACGGAAGTAAAACCCGATCGAATGGAGCCGCGTCGAACCGACGGCGCTATATCCGACAGTCTGGCGCATGCGTGTTTTAAAGAGCCCAGAAATCACCGCTGAAACTACAACCTGAGCGTCATCCCTTCTCCGTGTAAGCGCGGCGATCCGAACTGACTTCGCTTCATGGCCCGGCCGCACGCGTTCCCCGAGGCTCCGACTTACTCCGCCTCGTCGCCATGCGCCAGGCCGCGACCGCCAAACAAATGTGTATGTGTGTGTATGTGTGTATGTGTGTATGTGTGTGTGTGTGTGTGCGCGTCTGTCTGTGCGTGTGTGGTGTGCGCCCAGCTTCCCTCCCTCCCGCCACCGCCGGGCGCCTCCTCCCTCCACTCCTGCATGGTGGCCTTATTCGCGTTTCGTACACACACCAACGCCCTATCGCCAGCGCAGTGACTCTGCCTAGCCGCCGACGCGAAAAGTGTGTGTTTGTGGTGTGAATGTGGTCGTTGTGTGTAGTGTGTGGTGAATGCGTGTGTAAGTGCGTGTGTGCGTGTGTGCGTGTGCGTGTGTGCGTGTGTGTGTGCGTGTGTGCGTGTGTGCGTGTGTGCGTGTGTGCGTGTGTGCGTGTGTGCGTGTGTGCGTGTGTGCGTGTGTGCGTGTGTGCGTGTGTGCATGTAAGCCTGTGTGCCTGTGTGCCTGTGTGCCTGTATGCGTGTGTGCGTGTGTGCGTGTGTGCGTGTGCATGTGCGTGCGTGTGTGGCGTTGGGGGGTGAGGGAGGGTGGGGGACACACAATTCCCAAACCGTCCCACAACGGGCTACAAGCGGCCCAGGAGGCCACCAAGACGGCCTATGAGGCGTACGAGACGGCCCGAAAACGACCCAGCACGCCCACGAAGGTCTCACGACGGCCCAAGAAGCCTCTGAGACGCTTCGGGAGGGCTCCGAGGGGACCCCCCAGAAACCTCCAAGAGGTTAAGATCGGCCAAATCCCATGGGTTCCGGTATAAGTAAGTGTGAACAAAATTGCCTGCCTGGTTCTAGGAGCAACCAAGACTGTCCAAGAGACCCCCAAGACCGTCCCTAGACAGCCCAAGAGGCCCCGAAGGCGGCCCCAAGAGGGTCCCAAGCTGGCAGAGTAGGCCCACAAGACGACCCCAAGAGGCCCCCAAGACGGCCCGAAGAGGGGCGCAAGAGGGAGACTCCAACTGACCCTTCGAGACCTCCACCCTCAGATGAGCCCAAACGCCCCCAAGAGGCTCTGGAGGCGCCCCCCTGAGGCTCCAAGAGGCCTCCAGGAGGTCCCCAAGAGGCCAGGCCAGAGGTGCATGGTCTGAGCCCTCGGGAACGAAAACGCTGAACTAAGCACCACGGAAGACCTCCGAGTGCCTCGAACCGCAAACCTCTTCGCACCTCGCTACGCGGCGGCGGCCCTCGAACACCAAGAGCGCCCCAGATCGACGGCACGGGCCGGAGGCCATCACGTATTACCCCCCCGCACGCAGAGTCAATACGACTCGGGAGCACAGCCGCCCTCACGCCTTGGCACGTAGAAGAGTACCCTCAGGTCCCGTGGGGCCCTCTGCACTTACGCAGCATTGATCAGTGCACGTGCTCTTACCAGGGCCCACGGCCCCGAGTTCCAGGCGCTCTCTGGCCAGAGGCCAGAATTCGCAGAGGTCAGAGACCGCAAAGACGCCCCAAGAGCGTCCTCAGAGGTCCCCAAGACGGTCCACGAAAGCCCCAAGACGGAGCACGAGCGCACCAAGATGCCAATGACGATCTCAAACCGGTCCAAGAGGCCCCCGAGTCGCCCCAAGAGCGCTCCAAAAGGCCCCCCATGCAGGGTGCAACGACGACTTTAGCAGTCTTTCCCAAAGACGCCCTGACGCTCCGAGACGGCCCACGGACCCCAAGATCGCCCAAGGACGCCCAAGTAAATCCCCAAGACGGCCCAGAAAGCCCCAACAACGGCCCTAAAGGCCCGCAAAGCGGCCCGAGAGGGCCCCAAGAGGAGGAGCACAAACTGTCCCTTCCAGGACCCCAGGATGACCCCCGAGACCGCCAGCAGGCCCCCATGATGCCCTCAAGAAGCGCCAGGCGGCTCCCGAGAGACCTAAACATACGCCAAACTTGCATCCAAGAGATCCCACCAAGCATATAAGAAGGCCTCTGACCTACAACCCAGGCTCGGTGGCGGGAGGGCTGGAAGTTACTGGATAACTCACCAATCATAACTAATTTGCCTATTGAGCCAGAGTTATGTCACAACATTGGATGCGTTACAATGAGCAGCCCTGCGCGGGAGGGCCTCCAGTGCCTGGTCAATCATGCGCTCGAAGGAATCGTCAATGCTCAGAGCGCCAGAACTCGCCACTGGCTTCGTGGGCCTTCGACCGCGGTGCATGAATGTAACAGAGCGGGCGATGAATGAATGCGCGCATGAAATATCGGAAATAATGGATGGACAAGAGGGAAGGGCAAATGGTATATGGATTGCTCGCAGAAGGGTTGATCGGGTGATTGGCGCTGGTTGGTTGGACCTCAGGGTCATTTCTCAAGATCTTGAACAACACCCTCCTTGGCTGAATTGTCCTCCACTGGCGGGGGAGGGGCGCGCTTCACTGGGTTGGGATAAGACTCTGACTGAATACAGAGCGACAGGATCATTGGGATCCGCTGTAATGGTGCAAGAACCTTGGACGCCCAAGTTAGATCCTTCTGAGCGGCATTCCACCAGCCCTCTGGGCGCAGGTGGTCCAACGAGCTCTTGTGATCTCTCTTTTTCCACAGCCCCTCCATCTCCTGCTCGGGGGAGGGACCTACCCCTCCCCCTACCCCCACACCGTCACACGCCCCCCTCTGTCTAATAGTTGTCTTTCTTTACGGGGGAGTCCCGGGAAGTGTCTTGGAGAGTCCTGGGAGGGGTCCGGAAAGGTCCCAGGGTCGGAGGCCTGGAAATTGGCACCAACACCAAGACAGGGGGCTGCCTCCACAGGGTGAAGATAATCCTAGATTCTCGGTGTTGGTGGTAATAGTTCGGCCACCTTGGAAGCCAGAATATTACCACAATCACCGAGATCGGGATCTTCTTCCTTCGGTGGAGGCACGCCGCCGAAATTGGTGTTGGTGTCAATCCCTAGGCCTGCGACACGGGGAGTCCTGGAAGGCGTCTCGAACAAAACTCGTTTTCGGAGGCCTCCTGGAGCCCCTCCTGGGCGCCTCCTGGGAGCGTCTGCGGCCGTCCTGGGGGCCACCTTGGGCAGTCTTGGGGCGTCATTGGAGCCGTCCTGGGCCGCGTTGGGGCCGTCTTGGAAGTCTTGACGACGCTCCGTGTGAGATTCCCAGTCGGGAGCGGCCAAGAGGGGGGTGTCCAAGAGGGGGGGGGGGCAAATCATGACCGGCGGCATGTGCGCGGCCCAGCGGGGGGGCCAGGGACGTAATGAAATAAGAAGGGGCGCCATGAAATCTGGGGAAATATCATGGCCCCCGCCATGATATCCACCCCCCCCTAGTCATCACCCCCCTCTTTTCCGCCCCCGACCCAGGGGCACGGCTGCTAAGAATGAGCCGGGAAACGCACCCAAAACAGAGCGGTTTGGGTTTTTTTTCCAAAATGAAGCAAAAACTCAACCATTCTCGGAAGGGGGTCGGAAAAATGACACACGTCACACCCTTTTCCAAAATAGTGTAGTCATTTACCAAACATGGACGGCTTCGTCGGTTTGGCCAGAGACATCCCGCGAACAATTACCCACGGCACCCCTGCCCCAAAATGGCTCATCTTGGCGGCGAATTTTTTGTAACCGTGCCCCCAAGAATATAGCTCCTGACAAGAGGGGTGGTCCCAGTTGGCGCTCGACCGATTCGGACCTATCTGGAGCCCCTCTTGGACCCAGCTGGAGTCTGGGCCCCTTCGCGGCCACCTGTGAAAGGCAGCCAAGAAGGCTCCAAAAGAGCTCCGGATAGCTTGAGAGGGCTTCGGGGATGGCGCGCGGTGGTCGACGGTAGCCCTGGATGGTCTCCAACATGTGTCCAGCAGCCGCCCAGGCGGCCACAAGACAGCCCGATGCTGCCTCAGAGCTCTCCGAGGAGGCACCCGATGGGCGCGCCTCAAGATGGCTCCAAGAGGGCCCGAACAGGGCCTAAGTGGACGCAGAGTGGCCCAAAGACGGCCCCAACGCGGCCCCAAGATTGGCCGAACACGGCCCACGGTGACCCAAAAGACTACTTTTGGGACGCCCTCGGGGGCGAGAGGCCAGCCTAAGACCGTCCAGAAATCAGAAAGACAAGTGGGGGCCTTCAGGCAGGCATCTGAGACGGGCAGCCTGGGGGAGGAAACGGGCGGGACAGTTTTGTCGTTAGTGGAAGGGGTTTATCACTGTTCCCAATTAAGATACACACCCTCCCCCAAAGGCGACTGGCAGCCGACTAGGAACAATGCCGACCATACGATCCCCACCCCCAACCGTCCCTGCCTAAAACCAATACAAACCATTCTCTGCTTCCCAATACGGAGCCTGCGCAGCTAACCCGATGCGCCTCCCCTACCATCCCTGTCAAAAAGATATACAAAGTACACTTCGGGCCAAAGTCTTGAGTCATGTTCGTGAGGCCCGCGAGCACTTTGTATTGCTGTTGACAGGGACAACCGGCGCAGGGCCACCATCTCTGTCAACAAAAACAATACAACATGCACCTCGCGGCTAAATCTGGATCGCGCGCAGCCACCTCGCGATCACTGTCAAGCGGTTTTTGACCAGGCACGGCGGGGGGGGGCTTATGGCCTGCGGTGTGCATGCCCGCCAGGCACCATTATGGACATTGGTTTTAGACAAGGATGGTGGGAACCGATCTGTTTCCCGATGTGTGCTGTCACGTGCACAGGCGCACTGACACACTCTGCACGTGCCCCTCGGCCCCAGGCGTGCCTGGCGCGCGTGGCGCGCCTGGCACGCGTGGCGCACCTCGCCCCAGCGTCGCTCACATGGGGTCGGAGTTGGTTTTCATTAACTGTCAATCTAAAAACGACCGCTGAACATGCTGAGGCTCGGGTGTTATTTATGTGTTGGGAGGGCGGGTGGGAGTGAGCCAGACGGCTTGCTATCAGGGAAGGTCCCTTGGCCCCTCCCCCTCCCCCCCTCCCCTGGGTTTGGACGGGGCGCCCCGCGAGGTGTCAGAGGGTGCTGTTCGGTCCAAGCTGACTCCAAAGGAGCCTCCGAGAGCCCAACATGGCCTCCAGGATGGCCCAAGATGCTTCAAGATGGGTCAAGATAGCCTCCGACATGCCTGCAAGAGGCCTCCAGACGGCTCCAAGAGGGTTTCAAGTGCCCTTTTGCATGTTTTTGCCATCTCGTCCTTTCGCTTCCGATGGACCTGGGAGGCTTCAGGATGGCGCCAAGGTGGCCCAACAGAGCCGCAAGAGGGGCCGAAGAGGGCCCCAAGTGCGCTCAATAGCGCTCCAAGAACGGCTCAAGAGGGCCCAAAATCGCCATGACTCAGCCTCCGAGGGGGGGGGGGGGGCTGAATACGTTACATACATGTTGTTTGATGTCTGGGGCCCAGGGTCGGCCCAAGAGGCTTCCAAGACTCCCACTTCGCACAGAGAGACGAGTGGCGGCGAGTCTCCCCTCGTTCGATGGTTTGCGTGCGTGCGTGGACCCTCACCGCTCCCTCCTCCGTTCGAAGCGAACCCCGCCGCGAGCAAAGTATTGGATCTGCTCCTGTTTTTCAAATGGCTGATGGACGGCAGACCGTTTGCAAGAGTCAGGTTGCATTTCAGACGGACTTTGTCCCAAGTGCGGCCAACCTGATTCGATCTTCCACCGTCAGTGGCCATGTGATGACCCAGAGGTAGCAGCGGCCCGCAGCGAAGCCGTTGAGCCTCATCTGATCGAGGATGCCCGTAACTGCCAGCCCTCAGAGCGATTGTTTTGGTCTCGATTGATAGTGGCCCAGCCCGATGATGATTCCTCCCCCCCCCCTCGGTGGCGACGGACCCCCTCCTCCAGGATGTGAATGGGCAGCCTTTGTCTCTCGAGGAGTTTGTAGAACGGAGCGAGAGCTGTGACTTAGTGGTCGACGGCTCGGCCACCCAGTACCCAGTTTTAGAGTTCAACCGCGCTGCTGTCGCGGACCCGCTTCATGGCCACTGTGTGGCCAGTGTTGCACCAAACGCCCCAGGCGGCCGACACCTTGGGCCTGGCCACTGCTTGTGCGTTTAGCTCGGGCATGAATTCTCCTTTCAGTGATTGCAAAGGGGCCGTGCGCTTGCAGAATCTCTCGGATGAGGCGCAGCTGTGCCCGCGGGAAATGTTTGCGGGCTTCCGCCGTGCCGCGCAGCAATCGCCTGGATTTGATGCCCTGGGAAGGGCCCAGCATACGCCCGCCCATCGGTCGGATGCTATCATACAGGCCCTCCCCCCTGACCAGAAGCGAATAGCTTTAGCCAACCAGGGCGCTGACCGCCTGGCTAAGTTCGCTCTCTCGCTTCATCATCAGCATGCCCCTGCTGGTCTGGAGACCCTGGATAGGCAGGTGCAGGCCCTTCGAGCGTGTGCTCTGATGTTCGGGAAGGTGCTCTCTCTTTTTCCTAAGCTGCACTTTGAGAGACCCCCGAAAGAGAAGCGGTTGTCTAGAGTTCCCCCCGCGCCCGATTGGCACGATTGGGATGAGCCCAGTGGCGATCGACCCGCTTTCAGATGTAAGAAATGTTTCATGATTTCGTTCGATGGCGAGGTCCCGCCCGATGAACGGTTGTGCTGGTTTGTCCACGGCTCTGAGGCGCCTCCAAGGTGCTGAGACCGAGCGGCACCATAAGTTGGGATTTGCCATCTTGAACAAAACCCAAAGACCGCTGTTTTTCTGTTTTGCCTGCGGGGCCTACACCAGCAGGCGATGCTACTTGCTAGGTCAGACCTGTCTCAAGAAGTTGGGCACTGCGGGAGATCAGGTGCTCACTCGTCTTCAGGCTGGCCTCCACCCTCACTACAGAAAAAATCCCGAGGGTGATGACTCGCTGGCGCCTGCTAGAGCGCCGCCGAAGTCGGTGCTTCTTGCCCCTCCAGGCCCTCTCGCTGCTGGGTCGTCTCGCTTGGTCGATCCCGACCGTTTGCGAGCGCTGGCAGCCCGAATTCAGACCAAGGAGGAGGCATCCAGGCGATAGCCGCTGCTGTTGAAGCTGACGTTCTGCCGCAAGGTCGTCGCGTCCCTCTTGCAGGGCCTTCGAAGGCCCCCCCCTGCAAACACCTTGCAAAGACCCTGCGAAGCCCCTGCAAAGGCCCTAGCCAAGGAGGGGGGCCCTGTGTTGCGGGAAATAGGGACTTGGGCCCCACTGTTCAAAAAGAAGGGGGATACGAATTTCAGATCCCTCCCCCCCCCAGCTCGGAAG